CTCAGAACTCATCTCACAGAACAGGCCAATTTGCACTGCTCTCACTAAGATCCCGTCTCTGCCTTCCAGAGATCGTGAACTTCACTCCTGCAAAGACCAAGAGACCCTACAGGAAAAGAGGCCTGGTAACCATGTTTGCTCCTGTTCTCAGTCTGTATTTTTCTAGATTAAGCAGCACTCAAGTGGGACCAACTGACAGACTCCTTCCTGGTGGACTCCTTGGGCATATTTGAGTTTTCTAGTGCCAGAACACACCAAAGATTAGGTGTTAGAATGGAAAGTGAAATCTCTCCACTTCCTGATTACTTCTACAGGCATTCTTATTATCTTTAGTAAAACACACATACACACGTGCATGCACACACACACACACACACACACACACACACACACAGAGCCTAAGAAAATTACTGAGCTCTTTATTTATACCTTATAATAATGTCCTGTCCCGGTACTGTATGCAGTATTGGTACTACCTTCACTGCTGAAGGCATCCAGAAGGGAACTGGACCTTATGGCCTAAGAGCCTGCAAGGATAAAATTAGCCTGCAAGCATATGACTACCAGGAAAGTTTGGAGCTATCAGAACCAAGATATCATGGGTTGTCATCAGGGAGTAACTCAAGCAATAACTCTTTCTTTTCTTTTTTTTTTAATAGACACTTGATAGAAACTAGATCCTATGCTCCCAAATGTGAAATGGCAACCCATGAGGTTTTATATTCCAGTAATCACCAACCAGACTTGCTAGTACAAACATTTGAGCAAGTCGAGGGAGGGCTGGGGGGTAATCTATGCCCATAATGACCTTGTAAGGCAAAAAGAAAGAAAGGAAGGAAGGAAGGAAGGAAGGAAGGAAGGAAAGAAGGAAGAAAGAAAGAAAGAAAGGAAGGAAGGAAGAAAGAAAGAAAGAAAGAGCCAAGATTTGAAAAGAAAACAGACATGTGTGTAATGGAGAGCAGGCCATGTCCTGTACTGGGGGCAGCATTGGAAGTCCATGGAAGCTATCTGAGAGACTTCAAGCCTTCTCTTCTCCCCTCTTCTATGCAAATGAAAAACTGTGGACATGCTGGCCTTCCATGAGTAATCTCTCAAAACCTAAAATAAGGGACTGGGAATGTGGCTTAGTGGTGCTTGCCTAGCATGTGTGAGGTCCTGGTACCACATAAACAAAAACTTAATAAGTAAAACTAATTTTAAAAAAACTAAAATAAAATATGATCATGGTAATGCTAAGAGCTCCCAACTAGCCACTGAGCTTCAAATCCTAGGTTTATCAAAAGGACTTCTTATGTACAATGTTGAGGGAGAGAGTGATGGAGAGACCAAGGTGACTTGTGCTAATCAGCTGAGCACTCAATTTCATGCTAAGGGCAGGGAGCCTGCAGAGCAAACTCCAAACCACGATCCCAGCTTTCCCAGAAAGCCACCTTCCACATGTCTAAAATTTCACTGGGCTAATAGTCACAAATGGATCACTTTTTATCTATCTATCAATGTCCACAAAACAAGCACCCTCCAGCACAGAAGATATTAAAATTTAATAATCATCTTCTTCATTTTAATTTTAATACTAATATTAATAGTGATATAATCATTGTTAATATAATCATTCAGAGCATAGAATTTTCACATTCGAGGCCATCTTTTATTATTATTATTACTATTAATATATTATTCACTTTGAAATACACAGGTCTAGTTGTTTATCCACTTTAGCCATCATTTCCATGTATCTGAGTATTCTTAGATGTAGTCGATCTTCAGGATTTGACATCATACTGGGTGTAGTTACTGGAAAAATAAAAATCCCTTGCTTATCCTCACTTGGAATTTAAAAGTTACATAACAGGTCTGTGGAGCATAAGCCCAAGCCAAATGCATTTATAAACTTAAAAAAATGCTTCCAAAACAGAAGAGTATTAATCTCTACAGTCTAAAAAAGAGTTAGCCAGGATTTGATGAGTAGCAATGAACGAGTGAATGAGGGACCTTGGCAGCAGCCACAATTCATGGCCCCCAGAGCTGAGGGCTCGCCTCCCCTTGTCACCTCAGTGACCTTGGCCAGAGCAAAGAACAACTGTTTATTGGGTATCATGGAAGACTTTGTATGTTGGAGGTAACACAAAGACAAATCTTAATACTTGGTTCTAGACCACAAGAAGTTTATGAGGTGGCAGGCAAGAAAGACATACAATCATAGCTCACATCTGCCAGAATGAAGTGGAACCTGAACCCAGTGAGATCCTTGGGTAAGGAAAAGCCACTTCCTTCCTGAGGAGAAGAGAGTCTGGAGGGAGATTTTATGGGAAATTAGCATCTGAAATGAGCCTTAAAGAACAGCGAAGTTTCTGACCAACAATTCTGGGGATAAAAGACCATTCTGGAACAATGGAAGGAGCGCTGAGGCTAGACATGGTAGCTCACATCTGTAATCTCAGTACTCAAGGGGTTGACGCAGGAGGATTTTGAGTTCAAGGTCATCGCTGGCTGCCCCGTGTCTAAATAAATTAACACACAAAAGCTGGAATATGTGAACTTTCACTTCTAGTTCGCAGGCCACATTCCATCACTAGATGTCTTTAATGCAGACAAGGTCCCTTTGCTCCCCCACACCCCTTTTCAGACTCTCCCCATGGGGGCTGAGGCTAATTACATTTGTAAGAGTTGCAAAAGAGATTCACCATTACCAAAGTAAGATGCATTTTCAAGAGAACCCAGAGTCAATGGGAGCGGAGTCCGGGAAGCACCAGGCAGCCTGGTGGTTTCATCCATACCCCGGACGTTGCCTTGGGTGGCACTGTGGGGAAGAGACTGGAAGGACAGAAGCAGAGAAAGCAGCCTGGAGTGGGCAGGGGGAGGTGGGGGGAGGAACCCAAGGGCAGAAGACAATGGAGAAAGTCTGGGTCAAAACACCATTCATTCAGAAAAGAAGTAGGAGAATCCATCATTAATTGAATCTGCGTAGCTCCAAGGTCAAGGGGATGATAGTGTTATTAAGACATGGAGGAAACATGCAGGAAGAGGCTGGGTGAGGAAGGTGAAATGCCATGCTCGCCGCACACAGAGATGTTTAGAAGTGTGTGCAGATGCGGGTGAGTAGCATAACTGGGGGAAAGGTGTTCCTAGCATCTCATAGGACAGCCTCCCCCAAATAAAGAAAGAGTCTGCACACCAATAGTACAGAGATCAAAAAAACAACCCAGGTCTCCAGTTAGTAGAAAGCTCAGCTCTGGATATTGAGAAAGTAAGAGTGGATCAAGATGAGAACTTTCAATCACTCCTCTATCTGTGAGAGGTAGGAGAGATTGTTAACCACAGTGGAAGCAGGTGGAAAGGAAGGAGACATGGATGGCTTATGGAATTCCAGGCAACGCCTCTGTCTCGTTAACAATGGGGGCCGATTGGGGTAAGGCAATGTGAGAAGCACTTCCTCTTCCAAATGCAGTAATTTGAGAGCTGTTCTCAGCAAGTAAAAAACCTATGAAGATAGTAGACGGGAACAAGAATGGAAATCCAGGAGCGGCTCAGTTCAGTTTTCAATAGCCTGTTAGAATCTGGAGAAAGGGAAAATGTTATATATAAACAAAGACTTAAGTGAAAAGAAAGAAGGAAAGGAAACCGAGGAGACATGGAAAATGATAAGACAAGAAAAATATGAAGAAGGGAAGAGAAGAGAAGGGAACGGAAAATGGAGGAAGGAAAGGAATTCTCTAAAACTTGGCAGGATACATGATGAATGAATTCTAGGGAACAAGTCTAGCGACCATTCTCAGTAAGTTTAGAAAACTGTGAGTTTGGAAGGTATTCTGTAGAAAGCCAATTGCTTCTGGAGCAGGACCCTCTATGTGACTCAGAAGCTAAATTAACACATGACAAAACTGTGACCAGCACCTTGACATTTCTCTTATACTTAAATAAATGTTGCTGTGTCTCTGGTCTCGGGAGCTTGACAGTTGTAATTACCCCCCTCCCCCCACTCCCAGACAAGGTAGACTCTGGAGAGGTTGCATAGCTCTCCAAAGCAAAGAACTGGGAAAAGATGCATTGGGAGAAACCTGCTGACCTTGGACCTCAGGACACAGAGGAGAGTTTGCAAGAAACAAGGCAGAGGTGGTCCTTTCCTATCAAATTGGGGGGAAACCTGCAAAGATAAGGTGTACCCTGAAAGAGAAAGCTACAGCAAGAGAACAGAAAGCATCACTGGCTTGGAGAGTGGGAGGAAGTAGTATCCAAAACAACAGGAAATTCATTGTGTCAGAGCCAGACAGAGCTTGGATTCAAAGCGCAGCTCACTACCACCTTGCTCGCTCGCTTGCTCACTCATTCTCCCTTCTTACGTAATGGAAGACTGGGGTTCCTTTTCTGGCAACATGCCCACAAGGTTCCTAGGAAAGCCAAGGAGATTAAGTGAGAGAACATTTGTGAGGCACATAGAGCTACTGGCACAGGATAGTAATCAGGCTTAAATTCTGTTACTCTAGGCAATGCCTGACAAATGAAAAACAGTAGGACTCAACATTCCAAGACAGCCCGAGTAGGATATATTAAAGAAAGTAATGCATTTGCAAACTGAAATGAATTCCTAGAATTGAAAGTGACCTTCAGAACTCTCTAGTCAAATATCCTTATTTTACTGATGGAAAAAAATTGGAGAGGAAAATTGTGATTTGGATGCATGTACACCAAAAAAAAGGTTTTAATTAAAAGGAGGTTATTCATCATTTTTTATGTAATGGTAGAGGAAGGCAGAGTTAGACAAGGACAGCTTATCATCATGTGTGCATCAGAAATAATCCAAGTTCCTCTGAGATGTTTAGCACCAGCTAACATTAGTGTTCTGTGAACCTTGCACAACTGGCTCCAAGGAATTCACCTGAATCAGTAAGCATACCTAAATCAACTCTTAGATGGTTCACAGGCCAAAGAGTAAAATAGCTTTGGGGGTAAACCAACGACAGTAAAGGATGCGCTTTCGCAAGCTGCATCAGAGCACTTACCTGTCCAAGAGCAAGTTAGGAGCAAACAGGAGCTTCCCTGGGTGCTCCATGGAGCGCCAGACTAGGCCGATCATCAGAATCTCTAGCCAGGCACACTCCAGAAGATGGACCTGGTCGTGAAGGTTCAAATCCCCAAAGCCTGCAATACAACAAGGAAAACTGAGCTGAGGTGCAGCACAAGCTATTCACCACAGACGCCATCAGGGCATGCCGAGATTGGAACGAGTAGGGTCCATTTTCTATCAGCTACCACGGAGTGTAATAAAAGCCCACTTTACAGCCATGCCAAGTAACTGTGTTTTAAAATCTATCTGTATTCATGCATTTCGATGCGCTTTAAGCTTCTTAGTGCCTTAGCACAACATTTGCAGAAATCCACCAACTGACACAACCTGCTTAGCTTTCTCTAAAGAGTCATACTTAGTGAATTCTCTTCAGACATTTCTGCTAGCCTTGGGTGTCTGCTATGATCATTTCTGCCTAGTTGAAGACATTGAAGTGCTAGAAATTTAGCCTTAAACCAAAGAGAAGGTGGAGCACAATCGTGTGAAAGTCACTAAACTTGTATTTTCTTTGCTTTATCACTAAAAAAAACAAAAAGCTATAGCTCTTTTTATAACCAGTTTAAAAAAAAAGACTAATAAAATAGTACATGCAAATTCATCACTTGGGGAAAGAGTCAGATCAATAATGGTTACTACTGGTAAAATCCACCCAAATGTGCTCTTGCTTTCTAATGTCTGGACAGCTTAGAGCTCTTGACAATATGGTACATGCTTGATGATGATGATGATGATGATGATGATGAGTAGGGAGAAAGGAAGAAGAAAAACACAAAGGAGAAAGGGAGAGGGGAAGGAGATGGTGAGAAGATGAGTTTATTGAGCCTCTTACCATGGGCTGCAAGCAATGGTGAATGTTTTCGTATTCAATTATTTTCATCTTTATTAATATAATAAACTGAACAGATAGAAAGTAATATTCCTATTTCACAAATACTCAGAGAGTTTATCTGCTAAAGTCAGAAATGGGAATATAAGGACTCTTCTGAGCTTAATTCATTCATAAATTTAGGATCATGTGACTAAATAAATCCAACTGATAAATAAATCCAACAGATAAAGATATGCCAGAGTAACTGAGACATTAAATAAACCAAGTGTCCACCAAGCATGCTGCTTCCCAAATCAGTCCCCTGTTCTTTAACATGGAGAAATGCAGTCCTCTCTCTCTCCTCTCTCTCTCTCTCTCCATGGAGAAATGCAGTCCTCTCTCTCTCCTCTCTCTCTCTCTCTCCATGGAGAAATGCAGTCCTCTCTCTCTCCTCTCTCTCTCTCTCACTCTCTCTCTCTCTCTCACTCTCTCTCTCTCTCTGTCTTCCCCCTTAAATCTTCTGACCCACTGCATGGCTATTGAAAATGAAGTCAAAAAATTCAATGCATATCCCACAAAATTAAGAAAATTGGGGGGAAAAAGTATAATTGAGAGGAACAGGGAAGAATGATAAAAGGGGTGCATTGTATTCATAAACTGCTTTGTTGAATGATAACTCCTTTGCACAATTACAGAAAGAAAGGAAGGAAAAGAAAGAGAGAAAGAAAAGGAAAGAAAGAAGGAAGGAGGGAGGGAGGGAAGGAAGGAAGGAAGGAGGGAGGGAGGGAAGGAAGGAAGGAAGGAGGGAGGGAGAAGGGAGGGAGGGAGAGAGGGAGGGAGGGAGGGAAGAAAGAAGGAAAGGACGGAGGGAGGGAGGGAAGGAGAGGGAGGGAGGAAGGAAGGAATGAACGAAGGAAGGAAAGACGGATAGCAGACTATTGACATCAGTTTTTTGCTCTCTTCTTTGTCTTGATATCATTATACTTCTATCAGCAATTTATTTCTTGTGTGAATTCAAGTCGAAATGTAAGTTTATTCCTTTCTCAGTCTATGGCCTTCGCTCATCACCAGGTCATCCCAACCCACATCAGGTCTCCCTTTGGAATAATGCAAGGTCTCCTTCCCTTTTCTACTTCCACCGTTAACTTACAACCTCGATAAGTAACTCTTTTGACAGATTTCATAAATCAAGACTAATTGGTGTTGTTGTACATGTGATGAGTTGATTCTATTACAGACTAATATTCCATTATACGAATATACCCAAGAAAGCGTAATACTTTTATCCTTTTATTAGACATATGAGTTGTTATGAGCAGTTGATGTGTCCAGTGCTGTATAAATAATAATAGATATAATGGTTTTCAAACATGCTTGTGCTGGAGCTGGAGGCATGGCCCAGGGAGTACAGCCTATGAGCACAAGTGCCAAACCCTGAATTTGAGTTGCTGTACTAAGAAAAGAAAAAGTGCTTGTGTCACTTTATATACCTATGACCAACACATACGCTGCTACACAATTTTACTAACACTTTCTATTTTTTACATTTTAGACACTCTAACCCAGATACAGATATAATCCACCGATGCTGTGATTGTGTGTGTGTGTGTGTGTGTGTGTGTATGTACGCGTGCATGTGCGCACACGCGCTGGTACTGGGGGCTTGAACCCAGGACTTAGGCACCATCCTTTACCTTTCTTTATTCAAGGATATTGCTCTACCACTTGATCCATGGCTTCACTTCTGGCCTTTGGGCTGTAAACTGGAGATAAAAGTCTCAGAGTTTTCTTTTTTTTTTTTTTTTTTTGGGTCCGGTTGTGGGGCCTGAACTCTGGGCCTGGGCGCTGTCCCTCAGCTCTTCAGCTCAAGGCTAGCACTCTACGCCACAGCGCCACTTCTGGCTTTTTTCTTTTTGCTTATGTGGTGCTGAGGAATCGAACCTAGGGCCTCATGCATGCAAGGCAAGCGCTCTACCGCTGAGCTACCTTCCCAACCCAGTCTCAGAGTTTTCTACATAGGTTGGCTTTGAACTTCAATCCTCTCCTCTCAGCCTCCTGAGAAGCTAGGATTACAGGCGTGAGCCACTAGCACCCTCTGATGATATGGTATAATTTGCATTCTCCTAATGATTGCTCATGTGGACCATCTTTCCAGGTGTTTTCTATGTATCACTCTGGTACACAGTATTCAAGTTAATGATGCATGCATCTGTAAGACTGCGTACTCTTACAGGTGCACAATGCATGGTTCTATCAAATCCTGCATTTTTGGAGCTCAGATTCACTCCCGTTTCCACCGTATCTCTGAGGACTCAGGATGGCCTTGCCCTGATCAGAGCTGGTGCGTACCATGCCTTTGGAAAGCATAGATCCCAATCATGACCCAAGAGCGGCATCTGCATCGGGGAGGAAGTGAGTAGCTCTGTTCCTCAGAAGATCTCCAAGACTGACCAGCAATGATCCGGTTTCAGACCTGCCTGGAGGCCAAGGGAGCAGGCAGTTGGTCAAAAGCTGGCCCAGCTCCAGGAGAAACAGAGGCAGGCTCCACTGTCTAATAGGTAACACAATCCCAAGAAGCATACTATGAAATGAAAGTCCCCAGGGAAGTGTTAGCTCCCAACAGTTCATCTCTCACTTTGGAATGAAGGCTGCAAATTGTATGCAAATTATCCTGTAAATGAAATGCACTATCAGAAATGTTAACATTCCACCGTGAGGTTTATTTTTTTTTCCTCTCTCTTCTGAAGACATTTCATTGTTTGTGTATACCAAAAAAGCCATAATCACATGATCGTGTCATCTGTGATGAAACTTTCACTGGCTTTTTCGATGTCCTCCATTGGCTTTCAAAATTACACAGGATGGGATGGGGTGGGGTGGGGGTGGGGTGTCACAATTCCAAAACTTGTGGGTGGCCGTGTACGCTAATCAACTATGGGAAACCGAAAGGCCGTGACTTTATGTTTACACAGAATCATACTCTTAATCCTCATTTTCAATTTTCACTGTTCTTTAGCTGTGACAGTTTTAATGGTCTTTTAGGAGGCAAATAAGTTCCCAATAACCACTTTTACTATTGTAAGTACGGTGAAATAAATGTGTCAGGAAATTCTGATAGTAGTATTTTCTGTCAGCGGCTAGCAAGATTGTTCAGCCTTTCTGTGAAATGATGTAGATCTCACAAACAAAAATTTTCCATTATCTGTCCCAGCTGGGCCTGTTCCCTGCAGATGAGAGTCCTTAGGTCAGCTGTCCCGTGTCCTCTGTGTGCTCCTGGCACAGGATTGGTGGGGACTATACTGAGAAGACTGTCAATCAACCTTCTCCACGAATGGGAAGACCATGGGCAGTCACGAGATGGGAAATCTCCTTTCTCTCAATATTGGTCTTGATGTTGTTTTACCCACATAGGAGATAAATAGACTTCTTTTTAACATTCTTATTGTAAAGGTGATGTAGAGAAGGGTTACAGTTACACACGTTAAGTAATGAGTGCATTTCTTTTTGGACAATGTCACTTTCCCTCACTCTCTCCCAGTTTTTTTCCTCCTATCCCCACTCACAAGTTGTGTAGTTTGTTTTCAACATAGTGTTAGTGAGTGCACTGCTGCATTTGTCCACCTTTGTCCCTCCATTTCTGCACTCCCTTTACCTTCCTATAGACAGATAAATGAAACAAGACAAAAAGAAGACAAAACAACAACAGCAACAAAAAAACCCAGCAACTCCATTTCCTGGAGTTCATTTAAATAAATATCCTAGGAGAAGAACACAAAGATACAATACCTATGTACATCTGATCATATAAAATTATACTTACCTAAATACACTTTGGTTATGGACCAAATGCCCACGAGTATTTTCAGTTCACAGCCAATGAACTAGGAACAAAAGAATAGTGAGCCAACTACTTGCAGATATGTGGTTCTGGTTTTTTTTTAACCTTATTTTCCTGAGAACACAAAGAATGTTCCGACTCGCAATTGCACATGGTCTACTCTGATAGCTATTTAAAATACATCCCATTCTTTGTCAGTGTCTCATCAATATGAAGAAGGGAGCCCTGTAATTGCTTTGGGACATGAGTTGGAGATACTTGTGACCAAGATTTGCACAGGTGGCACAATGACACATCCCTCCATTGCTTGAAGACCCACACCTTAGTGACAGCGATGACAGGACTGCGTGTGAACTCCTCATCAGGGGGTAAGAGGCAATGCCTACAATGCACCAATTGAGGTCAGCCTAAATCAGAAGCTCAAAAAC